TACTACTAGTAAGGCACTTGTTACTACTAGCGTGGCACTTGTTACTATTAGCTTCCTACCCCCCCCCACTGCTTCGACTCCTCACCGCCGCATTTTGGTCGGAAGAACTTTCTGATTCCACCAAGGCAGCCTGGCTGGGGCGCGTCGTGGGGCGTTTGCTCAGGCATTTGCCGCGGTGTTTGCGAACGCGCAGGTTTTGAGAGATCGAAGCCCTGCAGGTTCGACTTGTAAGTGAGACATTGTAGGGTGAATGGTTTGAACGTTGTTGCTGAATACTCTGTGATCGGCCGCAAAAAAACGGATCCGGGCACGTGAAGGAGGGATCCGAGTTCCGAGTTCCGAGCGCCCGTCGGCGACATCGATCAGGCTGGATCTGAGAAGCCGCCCGGGGATGTGAGCTCTCTCACAGGCGACCGGAACGCCAAACTGGGCCACTGAGCAGAGGAGTTGAATGGATGATCCAGATCCTCTTCTTCATCCTTCACACTGTAGCTGCCCTGCCCTGCCTTCATCACGCACGCACGCAGGTGCAATGCTAGCGCTGCATTTGCTGAAAAACCGTCGTAGACGCTCCTCAGAAGGTGCGGTGACGTGTCGACTGAGGCAACTTTGAGAAGTGTTGTCCAACCACAAACAATCATTTGATTTGCTAGTAGTAACACGTGCATCGCTACTAGTAACAAGTGCCTTACTAGTATAGTAACAAGAAGCTATTTGAAATTTGATTTGCTATTAGTAACAAGGGCCTCGCTACTAGTAGCAAGAACGCTACGAACGTAGCTAGGGCATTACTACTGCTATTGGGTGGAGGCCATCGCAAGTAGGTTGGAGGCCATTACTACTCGGAACAAGAAGCTACTAGGTGGAGGCCATCGCAATTAGTGAAATCCCAAAGAATTGAAGACTCAGATTGTTGCTTCGTTGCACCATGTTGCACCATGTTGCACAACCAGATTCTGGTGGTCCCAGTGAGAGTCCCTTCCTCTCCGTTTCGATGCCGTAGGTCTCTCCGAAGATCTTTCCTCACAAAGTTCTGCCGCTGGTCTTGGAGCTATGGGTCGATGGTGGGGCGGTTGTGACGCGGTCTGAGGTCATCCGTGGGTGATTGTGGCATTTCCCAGGTGGTTCCGACTTCAGATGGCACTGTGCTTGTCGGAAGGCTGATGTCCTTGGTCTTATGATTCCTATGGACACCTTGTTTTGCCGGGCAGACCTTGACAGGCGCAGCACCTGTGAAAAGCATTCAGGGTCATCTCAACGTGAGAGTTTTGCCTAGGAACAATGCAATAATGTGAGAAAGACATTGACCGTGTCCAAGTCAGAGACGCATGTGGTCGTTGGGCTCGAAGGGAGCCTGTACTCAAGCGATGTTGAGAGAGTTCGGAATTCCTGGGTGGTGGCTTGGTGCACTTATTGAAACAATCAACACATGTGATAAGTGCAAGGGTGCAACTGAACGCATGACATTGCAATCTGCAAGTCTTGGTCGGCAGTCCAAGAAACACGAAAAAAGCCCGGCCCCCAAAGGTTGCTGCGGAAAGGAAGCCGTCGAACACGGCAGTGTGGCGGCTTTGACACATGCACCAGATGGTCCACCATGCGTCCCCACCGGTTGGGCTCCAATTTCGACCCCCGGTGTCGGCTCCGACGGGTGGATGCAGCGGATGCTCGGGTGTCCGAGGTGGAAAGCCAAGGCGCCTTGGAGAGAGGAACGTTCTGAGAAGTTCGTGGGAAGAGAGGGAGAGTTCCACGGGGGGACCCTGGACCCTGAAGGCCTATATTCTGACGGGGGTGAATCACTGTTCCCCTGACAGGGTCAATGTACCCTCCCTAAGAATCCGGACCCTCAAACAGATAGGGTTTGGTTCGGCCCCGGACCCCTGCCAAGAGGTCGGGTCTGACCCCTGCCATGGACAGCCCGAGCTCGGATTCTTAGTGCTGCTCATGAAGGCTCAGGAAGCACGACCAATCACTCCGGCGCACGCGTCTGGACGATTCGGGACGCCATCAGCACCGTGGTCCGTTCCGATGAGAGCTGATGATCGATGTCGGGTGGCCACTGCTAAACGCAAGCAGTGGTTCAGCAGGAACAGCACGTTTGGCACGGCTCCCAAGTGCTTTCGGGTGGTGTTTCCTTTGATCTTCACATCTCTTCACCGCGTTTGGTGAGGTCCTGAAGACGTGGTCGACGCTGCTTTGGTCTATGACCGGAAGGCGCGTGGTCCATGGAGCGACGGCCGGGCACGGTGCGGGGCGACGCCGACGAACGGCCTCGGTGCCGTCCCGAGGCGCTGATGGCCGAGGTCGAGGAGCCGCACCGGTCGCGGTCGCGGTTCGGTGGAGGTCGCTGAGGTTCGGCTGAGTGGTACGGATTTTGGTCATACGATCAATGATACGATCTAAGCTCGGTCGCAAGTCATGGACAGGTTTGCTTTCTTCCGGAGATATTTCTTGTATGTACGCCTTGGATGGGCTCATGCACTTCAGAGCGATTTGCGTAGCAAAACCGCAGCCAGCTGGAGCTCCGGCTTGGTGTTGGATTGCGCAGGGAAGGCTTCGACAGGTTCACGGCTTTTGCAGCTCCTGCTTGCAAGTGCTAAAGCTTGATCCTCATTAGAACGGTATATTTCCGGAAATTTAAGCAAATAACACCAAGCACCATTTCCCCGCTGTCCCAAACAAGGACACAAGAACAAGAAACACCCAAGAAAGAGAGAGCATGCAAACACACCCAATATTCAATATTCTAGGGTCGATGGACAATGGTTCCATGGTGCAAGTTTCCACCTTCATTGATGATGACAGGAAAACCTAGAACTCCTGTTTAAAAACCTGTGAAGAAGACCTAATAGCGATGGCCTCCAACACCCTTTCTTTTGCGGTTTGAGTTCTCCACGGTTTTCCCCGGTGCAAACCATGTGCTTTTATGCGCCTCCGGCTGTGGGTGGTGCTGCTTGGCGGACTCCTTTGTGCTGCACACGCCGGAGCTGCGGGCTGCACAGACGGCTTCAACCTGGAGGAGGCACGTTGCAAGGCCTGTGGCCGCTGTGGACCACTAGAGATTGGAGATGAAGGTGAGGATGGGGCTTGTGGATGAAATGGGAAGAAGAACGGGTGTGGCTTGTCCTTGGCTGTTGTTAGGAAGGGATGAAAGGAATGAATGTTCGATTTAGTGCGGCTTGGTGTTCAATGTGTGGCACTTGAAATTTCTTAAGATCCTGTGAAGCAGCAGTATGGCCAACGATCAGTTTCCTTACTTTCTGAGATGATTCAAACTGATATATAGGTTTCTGTCCATCTTCCCCTTTACTAGGGGGGAATTCGCGACAAACTGGTGCACCAAGATGCCTAATGACACACTGGGCAGCGTCTGAAACATGGTCCTGGACATGCCATAGCAACCGGCTTCAGTGGGGCCACAAAAACCGGACCGTGACCATCACTTGGGCGGACCATCAGCGATCAGCGCGGGTGTTCCATTCATTCCCAATGAATTTTCGGTAGGGTCGAGCTCGATGGGCTCCAACCCTCAATGACATGGCTCAGGGAGCTTCAAACATTCGGATGGGCAGGATGTCACCTCTCCAATTGCAGTATTCAGCTCAGCTGTGGTAACGAGACGGAGCAGATTTGGTTTGAGCCTTTGCTGCCCTGCGACCAGGAGGAGGAGAGCCACTCTTCTGAAACCCTTGCTTCGTAGGTGTAGATCGTGTAAATCATGTAGGGAGTTGAAAATGGGAAAACGATGACGTTGCCGTTTCCCAGTGTTGCAGCAACTCAACCAAACAGGTTCGACCGAGGTTGTTGACTCCGCTGCGATGTCGGCTGAGGCTGTCACTCAGCGAGTTTGGGATCGGCGCCGGTGGAGTACTGCTTGCGGAGACAACAAAGCGAGTGTATCTGTATGTTCGTGAGGGTGAGGTTGGAGAAGACCTACCTGACAGGACCCGCGATTTCCTGTTACGAATTGGTTGACAGGAATGAGGCCGCCAAAAACAAAAGATGAGGGTCACACCCAAAGCACAACCAAGTTAACTTGCTGAAGTTTCGAAGAGTTTATGCTTGGGAATCACAGATCGATTCTTGAATTGATCGAGACAGGAATGGTCCGTAGTGTTGACATGTGTAATGTGATTGCGAGTAGAGACTTTCAGTTCAAAAAACATGAAGATCAGTTATTTTTTTCTGCCCCCCCAATGTCGCCCTAACATGTATGTTGTCTCAGTCCTTTTTCCTTTGGACAGTTGGGCAACTCATGCAGGATGCGTGGACTCATGCACTTCCCAGGGACAACTGGAAAAGATGGCTGCCTTGGGGTCGCTGCTGGTCTTCATGGTCACTGGTGCGGCCTACCTGGTACAGCCAGGTTTCATCTACTCGGTGCCCCCCGTTTTGGAGCTGGGCTTGTTCTGAGCGAGCACGCCAGTCCCGCGGAAAAAAGTGACCGGGTGCTCGAGCAGTGTCTGCGGATGAGTTCAAGTCACTTGTAGTGGATGCCACTGCGATAGATACAGTGGACAACGACCGAATGATGACTACCCCGTTGATGATCCTCCACAAGGCTTTGGCTGTTGCATGCCAGTACTGTAACTGTAACGATGAATTTACTTTCGCTGCATGCCTGCAAGAAGGACCAAAGTCGGGCCCAATTCTACCAGAACAGAACCTGAAGATTGAAGTAAGAGAGTACTCTAGAAAACAAGATGTATTTTAGATGGTTTCTACCAGGAGTCACAGAGCTCGGGGAGGTGTTGAGTTTGCAAGCGAGTGGATGTGAGCTTCGCACCCCGATCCTCCGTTCGGCAGCCCCGAGTGACCAGTGACGACGCGGACGACCACCTGGACCACCCGGACCCCGGAGCGCCCGGCCGGCGGGATCCATCGGACCCGCGGATCGGCTGCCAGGAACCGCCCTCGCAGCGGCCCTCGGCGGACTTGGCCACCGTGGAGGTGCGGACGGCAAGGACCGGAGCGTCCAAGCAGGTGAGAGACGGGCAACGCTACGAGGTTGGAGGCCATCGCCCTTAGGTTGGAGGCCGAAGATTTGCTACAGGCCAAGGTCTAAAGCTTCGAAGGCTGGGCTTGAAAGCCCAGCTCCCATCCAGTTCAAGTAATTGCTGCTCGGACGCGCCATTTGAGACGCCGAGCTAGGCTGGTTGGCCTTCGGCTTGGCGCTTGTGGAATCTTCAGGCCCGGTTCCAGTTTGTCTTGCCTCATCCCACCTTGATGATTTCAGGCTGTCTGAGGGGCCATAGAAATTCAAGCTTTACATGGATCATTAGTCAGACCAGCCAGTCAGACAAATAGAGATTGATGAGAGGAACCGGTAAGGCAAAAGGCAACATCTCCCCATCATCATCCATCGTCCCATTTTTTGCAAGCTTTTTCTCTCATGAGGAGATGTTGGAGGATTGACCTGTGAGATTTCCTGCACCTTCGATGGGTGGTTTAGTGCGCCGCCAGCGTGAAGCAGTTTGTGTTTTAGTGCAAGCAGAGGAAGCTTTCACCAAGGCACGGAGCCTTAGTCCAGATTAGTTGGGGTGCTCGGGGACCTTCTGACTTGACATGACTTGACCAAATGATCATGCGACCAGGCAGCATGTGAACGCACAGAACGCTCACAGCTTCACGCCGAGAAAGCTCCGCTGACGCCGAGACACACCGTCTGTTGATGGTTTCCAACTTGACCACTTAAGTGATGACTACTAGCGATGCTGGCCCCCAACCTAGTAGCCAAACTACTAGCGACGGCCTCCAAACTACTAGTGATGGCCTCCAACTTAAGTGATGACTGGAAAGCACGGATGTTGGGGTCAAGAAAGTGTTGGATAGCACGGAGCACATAGATCTGCTCTTCATCAACAGCGATGCATGTTGAAGTCTTGAAGCAAGTTCCTTGGGTCTTGGAACACCGGGGCACCCTGCTTGCTGTACACTGAACCGTGGCTGGGACTCCACCTTGAACCGATGTGGTGCCGACAGGGCCAATATGGAAATGGGAACAAAGAACCTTAAAAAACCAAACACCTCCAGATTGTGGTGGATGAATCTAGAGGAAGCCTACCAAAAGGACGATTTGGTACAGTTGTTTGTGAACTGCAAGGGTCAACGATGCCATCAGGGCAGAGCCCGTTTTAAAGGCCGGCAATGACCCGGCCATGGAGCTCTGGCGTGTGCGTGTGCGTCAGGTACGACCTCTCCAGACTCCAAAGGGAGACTGGAAGACCCACCAATTGGTGAACTTGTGACGGACACCTCCGTTGAAAAACGCGGATCGCCTGGTGGGGGGATCGACTTCACGAAAAGGAACGCGCCGGAGTCGCCCAGCGCAATCTGCGGGTCGTCCTTGTGAGGTCCTTGAAGTGCGAGAAAACACGCAAAAAGGGGGAAGGTAGATGAAAAGGAAGAAGGTCCGTGATTGACCTACCTGGTACTACCTGAAGCAACTCTGTAGGGCTAAAAAGGCCACAGTTTGATGGACACGTCACTCCCATCCGCTGCCTTTGTCAAGACGTCGCCATCCCATGTGAGGCCCGTAGGTGTACAACATAGGTGTTCTTCATGCAAGGAGAGAGCTTCCAAGAGCCTCTTTTAGGAATGGCCAGACTCATGAAAAAACGAGAAAGACGACTCAAGGGTTTGGGGGGTGATTTGTGAGAAATCTGCCAGCACCGCTGATCATCTCCCTTTGCCCGTTGACCGGCACCAAAGATCCACTTGAGAGAAAAGCGCTGACCACCTGACGTGTGGCGTACCGCCAGACGTTCCTTGGTCGAGGAGCGTCGTTTGATTGCCGGTTTGTATATTCCGCTGGTTTCGTTTCTTTTGCAGATTGTAATAGGAATGGCCTCCAACCTAGTAGCGATGGCCTCCAACCTAAGGTAAATCTGGAGGGATTCTGAAGTACATGACATTGTTGTACAGCTGAAAGAGGGTTTTGTGGAATGGTCAGAATCTTTGATGCCGTGTCGGACTTCAACAAGTCATTTCTTCAAAGTGGGCACCGGTGGCACAGGCTCGGTTGGCTACGCCTTTGTGAAGGTGGGAATGCCGCTCAATGGGCAAGACTGGAAGACTGGACGGGAACCGGCCTTCCATTTCTTTGAACACATTTCATAAACAGTTCAAAGAAAGGACGGTTTCCTGTGAACATTGGGAAGGACGGTCAGTGGACAGCCTTCCTTTTTTCAGGGACATTTCCTGTGACTCATAGGACTTTGTCTATGTCCTTTTTATAGGACTAATTAGCTGACTTGCAATCGATAGGACGGTGTTCATTTCTGTGGTTTTTCCACCTGCCTCCGCCACCAGGCGCCCCCGATCCGATCGGTGGAGGTGCGGAGTGATTTAGACGCCTTGGCCACTTGGGCCAAGTCAAAGTCAAACATAGAAAAACCTATTACTAGTAACAAGAAGCTACTAGGTGGAGGCCATTGCTACTAGGGTGGAGGCCATCGCTAGTAGGTTGGAGGCCTATATATCACTAGTGGCAAGAAGCTATCATGCTTTTTCTGTTGAAGGCAAGTCGAAGTGGCCCAACAAGGGGACGATTCTCCTGTGTTTTTTGGTGCACCTCGCGCAAGAAGGTGAATCTGAAGATCTGAAGTTGGGTAGGATGAATCGAAGTGCTGTGAATTCACAGGGAGTTGACAGACGTGTCCCCTTCGCCCCGACAGGATGAGCCGGATGAACAGTTTCAGATGACCAAAAGATGCACAGTTCGCAACGGAACGCGCCGCTTTTCGTCGAACTCAAGGCAGCCCGTCCCGACGTACCCGACGGTACCTGCTGCGAGGACGGTAGACCGCTGCAGCTTCGAGGGTCAACGCCCACAGCCGGAACCCCAGCGCCCAGCAGGGGGAGCAGGAGGAGCTTGGGAAGCTTGGGCGGTTGTCCAGGCAATGAGCTGGAGGCTGCCAGGGTTTGGAGCTTTGAGGGTTTGCAACGAAACAAATCCAAGTCCCAATCTACACTCCCTCTTCCACCGACTCTGGAAACCATCCCTGTTTGTTTCGGGCCTTTCAGCCAAGCTGTTCGAACGTGGGAAGCGGGGTGGACCACGGGCCACGTCCCCTGGAACGTGGAATTCGCAGGGATCAGGCTAAACTCGTTCTGCCTAGCCAGTATGATACAACCGACAAGCTTCTCGGTCCCGCTCTTGAGCCAAAAGCCCAGCATTGAGGCTTTCAGCAAAGCGTTCACGTAGCCAAAACAAGTCACAAGTCTCTCCACGGCTAAAGCGGAGGTGTCCAACGCTTCCACGGCCAAAAGGCGCAGCCATTTCAGCACCTGGCAGGCAGGAACCACCGCCATGTCCGATGTCCGGTGACCGAGCGATGGCCTCCAACCGAAAAGGCAACACGGTTGGTGAAGGTCAACCGATGGACCACCAAAAACCAGGACCCAGCAACTCGACAGGGTGAAGGCTCAGGCTGAAAAGGAACAGTGAAGGCTCAGTAGAGCCGTTCGTCTTCCAGCTCCTTCTTATTTTGGAAAAAGAAGGCCTGAAGCTTGGCACGAAAGATCGGCCCCCCCGGTCAGACTTTGGCGGGCTCCCAGCATCTGAAAAGGAATGTCTCGAGCGAATTTCAGGGGATTGCGCACCTGGCTGGTTTAATGGGGTTTCATGGCCAAGGGGGCCCAGAAGGGGATATGAATCCTGAAAACCCAGGCGCGAAGAAGTAGGTCCCAAGAAGTGGGTATGTGCTGCGTGGAAAGCGTGTGAGCCAAGACGTCCTTCGAAAGCAAATGAACAGCAAGAGCCAGAACTGCAAAACGGGTCCCTCTAAAGCCCTGTATACGGCCCTAAGGTGTCATGGTCCTCATCCATGTCATCGCCCTTTTCCAAACTCCGCCGTCACTATTCCTGATCTTATCTCCCTGTTTGCTTTGGCGAATTCGACTTCAACGTCCCAACTCACCACGACTTCAACGTCCGCACGCACCCCTCCGCGAACGCGACCTTCTCGCGCCAGGTGGCGACCGGCCTCGGCCTCGTGGCATCCGCCAAGGTGAGCAGAGGAAACCCCGAAAACGGTCGTGGCACGTGCACGACCTGCTCATGAGCCGACCAAAGCGAGGGATTCGACCCCCAAATCCGGGTACTCAACCTGAGCTCAGATTCGAGGCTTAACACTCTTCTTGCCTCTCTCCAAACTGAGGGGCTCTACAGATGTTGCATCGAGGTGCTTCTCCAAATCTGGAAAAACGTCAACCCACCCACTAAAACATGGATAGTCCGGGCCGGTCCGGGCGGTAGACCCGGCTATCCATGTAAAAGATCCGGAAGAAGCTCATGTCGATCTGTGCGGCGCAGTGCGGGTTTCGTCCTCCAAAGCCGCGACGCTCGCGACGGCGGCGTTTCCACCCGCTCAGGTGGCTCGTGCGTCGACAGAGGCAGAGGGGTCGCGTTTTGATTGGCTTTCACTCTGCCGTAGCGGCATGGCATTCACGTCAAGGTGACACCTTGCGACTTGACCTGTTTGGAAATGGCAGCTTTTCAACTTCGCTTGACACCTGCTCTGACCCAAAGATTGAATGAAGCAAAACCAAACTTCCCAGTAACTCGTGCGTTGACGGCAGTTCCTTGAGTAGCGAAACACTGGGACTTTGATGAGTGACGAACCAGCGAACCCCGTCTGGGGTGAGCATTCTGCGGAGCCCTTTGGGCTTTGTTTACGTCAGGTGGATTGGACTGGGAGTGCCACAGGCGCCGGTCCGTTTCCGGCGGGGTTGACAGAAATTGCTCCAAAAGTGTAAGCATTGCAGGAATGGTGGGATTAGGGCAGTGTCACCCAGCAACCAAAGGCCCACACAGTTTCTCTGGAGCGCCACACGACAGTCCTCAGCGCAACGCTTGCGTCCATGAGTGGGTCTTGTTCGATTTCCATTCGTGGCAGCTTCGCCCGCCAAATCGCCGACTTTGTGTGCAGGTGTAGGACTATCGACTCGAAATAGGGAGGGCGACATGGGAACTGGGCATCCTTTGCCGCAAGTGGATGTTGTTGCTTTCCCACATGGACCGACACCTTTGCGCCATGTTCTAAACACATATAGTCGCTTAGAAGTCCAAAGACCATACTTTTCCTTAAGTGAAGATAGTGAAGTAGAAAAGCCTTTTCAGGTCCCCTCCAGGCAATTCCCTTCATTACTTAGGACTTTTGGACTTAGTACTTGAAGGGGGATCTAGAAGCACCACCCCCGACATGGCATCACATCGCACCCCTTAAGGCCTCGTGCCACGTCCTCGTCCTCGTCCCTCGTTCGCCTCCTGCATCGCCTCCATCCTACTTCTTCGTAGGCTGGGGGCGGATTCGGCAGAAGTCCATTTTGGATGTGGATTGGCTCAACATCCACGGTACCTTGGACAAAGAAGCCCGGAACAGCCCGAACGACCGAATTCGGGAGAGTGTTCCAAGTTCGTTTCATGAATCACGACATTTTGAGATACATGGATACATTTACATCACCGGATTGGAAAACATACAGCGTTCGAAGTTCGAATCGCGGGTGACATCACTTTGACTCATCTGCACTGGGCTCTCCGGTGACGGAACTCGTCCGCACGGAAGGACCCGGTGAAATCCACCGGCGGAATTTCCGCTCGTTTTGGACAGCTTCCTTTGGTAGCTTCTTACTACAGTAGGCAGTGGCCTCCAAGCTACTAGCTCTGTGAAGTAGGACGTTTCTGTGAAGTGGATTTTTCCGTTTTTTTTTTCGATGTTTTTGGTGTCCGAAGACCTCGCTTCGCATCGCGCTCTTCCACCGCCAGCGCCACGGATTGATCCGGCGCCGTTGGGCTCGTGACAACGCCAAGCACATCTGAGCACATCGGGCTGTTCGTGAATGCCAATGCTGTTCATTTTGGAGGGAGGCTGTTCGGTGAGTTGCTTTGTGTTACATCTGGAGGCTACTTATGGCTCCCTCAAAGACGTGTTGGAGTTATTGGCAAACTTTGGTGCTGTTCACAATCACCTGTCGAATCGGCTGATGTTCTCCAATTCATGATGAACATAAACCAAATAGTGACCACGGGAGCACAAAGCCATTGGTGCCATGCAGGCCAAACAAGGCGAAAAACCCTCACCATTAGGGTTACGTACTTGTTGCGCAACCGGTTCAAACTTTGGGCTGATACGACCCTTGATTTTCACATTTTTTTTTACACACACAGCAAAGATAAAAGCCAGGAATATCGCAAAGAGACACTATAGAAAGGCGTCCAATTCCAAGGAGCCGCACTATCCAGGCAAGGTAAATTATCAAGCCTTGTAAGAAAATTCTATAAGCCACAGATCCCAAATTGAGATTGCAGATGAGAAAGATAGCATACCCAGCTGCAGCCAGCTTCCGCCAAGTCACCGAAATTTCGACCTGGCAGCATGACAAAAAGACAAGTTAGAAACAGAATGGGGCAACCCTCAAACTGCAGTCCCCATAAAGGATATTGTTGCCATGCAAGTCTGTTTTCCTCTCAAAACCGGTTGCCTCAAGTATTGGTCCAAACTCTCAACTCACTGACCTCGTTCGTCCTCTCTTCGGCCGATCCTCGGCCTAGGCGTCATGACGTTGTCCGCGGTGGTCCTCTTTGTGGCACAGATCAGTCGCATCTTGGCACGGGCGCTCGGTGGTCGGTGGTCGGTGCTGGCGACAGCGTTACGTGGGACAAACGATTTGGGCTTGGGAATGCGTGAGGTATCAAATGGCGTATCGAATCCATTTGGTTTGTGATCTGGTGGATGCATTTGGAAAGATCATGAAAGATCTAAAGGGCGGGACGAATCAGATCCAAACAGCGCGAGTTCTTTTGTTGTGCTTTGATGTTCGTGCAGCGCCTTGTTCTTCCCAACCAGGGCCTATATGCAGGCTCAAGATTCGGAAAAGCCCAGAAGCGAGAAAAGCTCCGTGTAGAACCGTTTACTGAGCTTCGCATTTGCCGAAGACCCATGAGATGAACCTGGTGGGCCCTGCACTCGTGGCGCTTGGCGTGTCCTTACTGTGTGCGGGTGGCCTTTTGCTGCAACGATACCTGGATGGATCAGAGTCGGATGAGTCCAATGGATCGGAGTACAGCTTCGGCTTTGCGCTCAATTTGAAGCACGTGCGGAAGGTCCTCTTTCGCGTGGATTGTCAGCGTGCAATTGAAGCTTTGCCGAGTGTTCGCCTGGAGCAAGGCACGGCGCCGACTCTGAACCGACCGCCGGTCCAAAGACTGATATGGTTATTCATGGCTTAGCTCATGGCTTAGCTCCTGGCTCCATCTGCATGGGTAGATTTGGGGTAGATTTGTTGACCTTGCTGGAGTTTCTACTTAATACTGGACAGATTTTTGCTTCTACGATGTTCTATGTATCCACAGCTTTCATTCTTCCAGTTGATTTGTTTTTTTTTGCAAAAGCTTCACTTGCTATTCGGTTTTGTCGCCAGGAGAGGCCTGTGCTATTTGCTTGGAGCCTCTGGAAGAAGCCCGACAGTTGCCCTGTGGCCACCTCTTTCACCAGCATTGCTTGCTGGAACTCACCAAGTCACCCTCACACTCGCCCTCAAGACGGCTCCGGCAGGAGGCCCACCGTGCAATTAGCTGCCCTTTGTGCAGGTCGGTGACGGTTAAGATCCCGGTGATTGGAGCCTGCAGGGAGGGGGCGGGGGCTTGTGAAGCTGATTTGGAGGATCCGAGGCTTGGCAGCGAGGGATACGATTGGAGCGGGTGACTTGCAGGGTGACTTGCAGGGGTTTGGCTTGCTTTTGAACCCAAAAGACTCTTCCAAATTCCACGGCCATCTTCGTTTTTCTCGAGCCGCCTGTTCGAAGATTGAAGGATCAGATGCCTCGCCATGGGTCTGAAAAACACATTGTGCACGTAGAGGTTTTTTTTGTCACACCATTTGGGGCTCCTTTCATGATTCTTGCGATGGGATCGTTGAGTGTCATTCATAGTCATAGTGCACAAATAGATGTGGTCGCACATTTCTTTTGAACACCAGAAACCTCCAGGATCTCATAGTTTCGTACCGTTGGCAATGGACAATAATACTAGTAGGGAATCGCATTGGGGAAAGACTTTCCTCCCCAGGCGGCTGGCCCCTTGACATTCTGATAGGTGTGTGGTAAACCTCCCATGGGTGTCTCGTTTTCATCGACGTGACGACCTCGACATCGTCGTCCCCCCCCCGGGGTCTCTTCGACCTCGTTCCGCAGGAGTGGAGAATCACAATGTCCTTCCGCGCACCGAGCCTCCCTGTGATCGAAACGCAGCGAGCGGTCTGTGAGCTGAACGCTGGTCGGTGATCGATCGGAGACAGCACCAACCCTGGGAGGGGAGGCAGATAATGACCCAGGGACGATTGGGGGGATTTGCAGGTGCGTCCAGTTTGGTTCAGCTGGTGGCATTTGTCTTGGGGGGGGGGGGCGTTGGGTCAAAAAACACCTCTGCCTCCTCACCTGGGGCTGCCAGAGGCTGAAGGAGAGCCGCAAGACCCCTCTCCCCATGATTCGCGACCGTCGCGGAGGGGGAGGTGGGCGACTCTGCTGGCTTCCTTTGATGCTTTTGGGCGCTGGGAGGGGCCTCTGAGATGAGGAGGAGGGTCTCTGAGCCACGTCTTGCCATGTTTATGCACCAAGTCTTCTGCCCCCGCCAAACATGGTGTACCAAATGTGCATAGCCTGCATAGCTGCAGTGTAGCTGTTTGGCAGACGTCTCCAAATGGATTTCTGCAGCGAGAGCGAGCACATCGTCCGAACTGACCTCTCAGTATGTCTGCGAACTCAGAAACTCGGAGGGCTCCCAGCGAAGAGCTCCCCGCCACGAATGGACGTGGCCGGGTTATGATGCACGGTAGTGACCCACGTCTTGCCCAAGCAACGACTTTCCTTTCAACTACAGCTTTTTGACTCTCAACCATCATAGCTCAAAAGGTCCTTTGTTGCAGAGAACCTAAACACATGCGATGAGGTTGGAGGCCATCGCTCTTAGGTTCAAAGTTCTCTTTCCACTGACTCCCTACTGGACGGCACGAGCCGTGTCGAGCTTGGACCAGTGCGACCGTGTGTGGTTGAAGACTTTCAATCCGTTTATCGATCCGCTGTGCAACTGCGACCGCACATGCGGTTGTGGGGCCTTGCTGGCTAAAGGAAGAAACTGCTTTACTGGAGTCTATTTGCGGAGTTAAGCAAGCAAGTTCTTCAACTCCTGGTACCGACTATCCAGCCAGTCAAGTCAACCCCCACTGTTCACTCCTTTGTCATCACTTTTCGCTTGCAGAATCTCATTTAGATGTGGAAGTTTGACCCATTGAGAGACTCTCAGGGGAAGAAGCAGCCTCTCAGAGAAATGAACAGAGAACACTCTGCAAGATTTGTCTTTGGAGAAGCGGGTCGGGAATCTGCAACGTTGAAGCATGTGTTCGAGTATTCTTCACCATTCAAGGGTGATTCCAGGGTCACCAATCCCCATATACGAAAGATGCCTTGTCAGAGCAACTCGGAGAAGGAGACGTTGGCATACTCAACTCGAGCCTAGCAGAATCATTGTTCCACTCAACGGCATCATTTTTGGGAGCCCCTGATTGAACCAAATCAAATACCCATGCTATTGAGTTGGAGGCCATCGCGCTTTGGTTAGAGGCCATCGCTCTTAGGTTGGAGGCTATCGCTCTTAGGTTGGAGGCCATCGCTCTTAGGTTGGAGGCCATCG